AACTGATCCAGAAAACCTGTGTTTAAACAAATGCTTGACTATTTAGTGCTATATTTTTTCTGGATACTCAACAGTATTTTGCATTTAAATACATTTCCTCAAACTTTTGTGGCTTGGCTGTCTTTAAGATTTCATTCAGAATTGAACATTTCTTTGGAACTTCTGTATGGAATGTCAATGCCTGTTGAAAAGTTATCTGTAGTTTGATGAATTTCTGTCTTTGATTGTCGTGAATAACATGCCCAAGTCTGACAAATTAGTTTTCCAGGTGGAAAATCTTACTCGTAAGGCTCAACTTCAAGAAATAGAGCTGGAACGAACTAATAAGCAGCTGAAGGAGGCAATAGCAATTGCTGGGGAAGAAAGTGCAAAATGCAAAGCTGCTAAAGAAGTAATAAAGTCACTTACTGCTCAGGTAACATGAAGGTTTAGACTCATTCATTCTTTTAAGTCGTCATTCATTTTCTACAAAGATTCACGGATGATTGTATTGGCTTTGTTGCATTTTAGATGAATCTGTCTGCTGGAGTTTCTTGTGCAGGGGGACAGGGTTTAATCTTTAGTTTTGATATACTTGAATTTTGTCTTATATTACTATATTTTCAATGAGTTTAAAAGGGTAGTGACTTGGAGGGTTTGACTGAAAGAAGGTGTGCTAATTCACACTTAGGTCACATGGTGCAATATGCTGATGGTTGTGAGTATTGGAGTTCTAAAGTGGCTAAAGTTACGTTAGTTGTTTGTTGATATCTTGTCTGACATGTAAAAAATTTGCCCTTTCTGATTGACTGACTGGTCAAGGATTTCATTTTATGTCTAATTGAACCAATGTTTATTCTCCCAAAATACAATATATACTTAGATATAGCATTTGAAGTCGATTATTCGTGCTTCTTTTGATGCATGTCACCCTAAGTCTAATTCCCTTCTTCCCATATTATTTTAGAATGCTGTTTATTGTTTAAAAAAAATCTCTGTGTTTTCAGCTCGCACTTAAATCCTTTGTGCCAAGTCAAGTTTGAGCATCCAGTTTCTTGCAGAATTTTTGAAATCCATGCCTAGATCAATAAAAATGTTATGTCAATGAAGTAATATTTTGCTTGTGTTGAACCCAGAAAGTATGTGGAGGTGACTACTCAAGTCAGACCAAGAAAAGATTCTATGAGTTCATCAGCTACTTCATTTTGCTCTGCTCTTGAAACAACCTGAGCTTTGCACTTGCTTGAGAAATTTTGCGGACTAAATTCCAAAGCCAGTTTTCTTAGCATACCATCCACATGTTTATAACCCGTTCGAACAATTTCCCATATCCAGTGTCAGATAAGCTATTTAGGTCTAACTATGAGCTCACATTGAAGGAGTAATGCAGTCATGGCAGCCCAACGTAGGAATCGTACTCACGAATTGCATGACCACATGGGGCTGCTATGTTTTGTACCATAACAATAGAGTTGAGCATTAGCCAATCAAGTTTTGGATCTCAAAACCAATGGCTTAATATGCTTGACTTGCATTGTTAGTAGCAGATACGCACCCAGTGTGGACAAAACTTCGTGGTCTTCTTCCTCTTCTTTTTTGTTTTTGTTGAACAATAGTGAATCTAGATCTCGTTGTCCAAATGCCTATTGGATTTTCTAACAAGGTGGTAGAAAAGAGTCGGTGTTAAAAGAAGTTGATACTTTTTGATAGTTCATTGTCTCACTAAGGAGATTAGTGGTTTTAAGAGGTGTCAGCTTAAAGACTCCTCTTCACTTTTACCTCACGCAATTTTGATGATAAATATTTAATTAAGCTATGGGCAAATGAAGCTTAAAAATAAATGGCTTTGTGAAGATGATGGTTTTCCTATCTAAGCTTGTATTATATGACATGCCTTGCTAAATTTAAAAATTTTAACTCTTGGAAGCTTATCTTGCTTCATGATATTTATTGATCTGTCAATTATGTTTTGCTGTACAATGATAACTTACATAATTAGGTATGAAATCCATTTGTCAATTGTTTTGCATGTTCATGCTTGAACTTCATAGTGTTCAAATTCGTCAATGTTAGTGATTTGAACTGTTGTGATCAACATTAATTCTGTATTCTTGCCATGGTTTTAGAATGATTCTCTAGGGTTTTGATTGAAGTGATCTATCGGCACAATATTCATTCGTTATGTGATCTGGATTTAAAGTTAAAACCTTTTCTTTTTCTAATGTTGTAGTAAGAACAGTTGTCAATCTCCAAAGGGATATAAACTTCAATCAAATCAGTTTCATTCCTTTTAGTGTTGATAATCTGTAACATTGTTGTACAAGTGCTGGAGTCGTTTCTATTAGAGGTAGAATGGTATGTAGAGTTGATTGGTAGCTACAGATTGGATTAAAAATGAAGTTAGTAGCTTTTGTCGCTGTTGCTAATCTTTTATTGCATATGATAGCTGAAGGAAATGGCGAAAGGCTTCCTGTTGGTGCTGCCAGAAACATCAAATCTCCTCCCTTGACTTCACTGGGTTCTAATCCTATCTCTGGTGATGTTCCAAATGCTTCTACTGACAAATTGCATGGTCCAGCATCTGGCCTAGAGCTGGAATCCAATGGAGTAAATAATCAGTTACTTCCCAATGGATCTAGTACCAACAGTACTCGTAGTTCTGGTCACAACAAACAAGGGCATTCAGAAGCAGCTGCAAGAAATGGGGGCAGAACAAGAGAAGGTGATTCTCGTAATGAAAACGAATGGGTGGAGCAAGATGAACCTGGTGTTTATATCACACTTACCTCCTTACCTGGAGGTGCAAAAGATCTTAAGCGAGTACGCTTCAGGTATGCATTATCATTATCTCTAGGTTGTCTTTCATGCAATGTCTGGTGTTTTTTTCATACTGTTTTTATGCTGCATATTATATCGCTACTCATTTTGTGGCTACTTAGAACATGCTAAGAGCCAATCAGGCATGGGAAGCTAGAGCAGTTGTGGCATTTTAGTTCATAAATATATCTGACTGCAGTTACAAGTGACTACAACTTTGGTTTTATGTGCTATCAGATATTTGTTACCATAAATATAGATGCTAAGCAAGGAATGAAAGAATTGTTTAATAACTATTTAACACAGGAAAGTCATAATCCAAATGCAATGTTTTGCTACTTTTGCATCTACCACAACTGATGCTGAACAGAGAATTTTCTTGCATTAATATTATTGCACATGTAAAAGTGATGAAATTATGGACCTGGATTCTAAAGAACGAGGATGACAATTGGAGACTGAGTGCGAGGATAACTAGAATGGATATGACAGCAGCGTAGAAAGAATTGGCTTGCTAAACCTGTTTCATTAATTAGTTACCATTTGGTGGTATCCAAGCTATAGTCCACCTAATGGGCTAGAGACCTCATAATTGTTGGACCAAAAATAACCTCAAAGATATTCATAACATGATTCATCTCCAAAGCTATTTCCTTTGTAGAATGAATTGTAAAAATGCAACTTGATAGTGTAACAGCCTTTTGCTTTTGGTGTCTCCATTTCAACCGTTATGTATAAATTGTCCCTGCTTATAGCTACTACTATAAATTTAAAAAGCCATAAAAAGTTTGTATAATCCTAAAAAAGAAAATGCACATGAATAATGTCCTGGATATGTTGAATTTTGTTTAGCTAGTTTCTCTATAAATATGGATTTAAAGATGCATTTTTAAGTCTTCTTCATAGTAAATGCATCGATTGTACACAGATAGCCAGCTTGTACCTTGGACCTCTTTGACATTGTAGCAAACAACTAAATGTCTCAGAGTGTAGATATCTTAAATCTGGTTGCCATCAATGTGAATGCACGATTCTATCTGCGGCAATGTTTTAAATAATTTTCCTAATAAAAAAAAAGGGACAAAACCATATTGCCAATTGAGGCTATACGGTAGATATCTGAGTCTTGTTGCCTATTCACATCCCACCCTGCAGTAAACAAATGAAAGAAAAGTTTGTTGTCAGTCTTATGTTCCTTAGCTATACATCTATGCATTAACTAAATGCTGTTTTAGTTCATTCTATCCCTTTCTATTGTTCTGATGTAACGAAATGACAAGTTACACTGATGAGAGAAGGTAATTTGTACATGCGATTTTGCTTAACTGTGAATTTGAATATTTCAATCAATGGTTTATTGCAGCCGGAAGCGGTTCAGCGAGAAGGAAGCAGAACTTTGGTGGGCAGAAAATCGGGCAAGAGTATATGAACAGTACAATGTACGCATGGTTGACAAGTCAAGCATTGGTGTAGGAAGTGAGGACTTAGCACATTGACATGTCGATACATCATATGTATATGCTGTCTCTTTTCTTTACCTTTTCTACGTTACTTCCAGTCATATAGGGAAGATCACATTGATTGGTAGGATTGGCTTTCTTTTCACTAAGCGTTGGAAGCAAAAAGTTTGCCTTACCAGGATAGAGCAGTAGAGGTTGCTATTGGGCTTTATCGAGTCCCCTGTTTTTGGTTCTTTTTCTTCCTTTTTTACCTTCACCTCTTTTCCCCTTTTATTATTTTTTGGCTTGACTATGCTGTTTCATTTTTTCTCCCAGATGACACAATGTGTGGGGGATGAGGGTGAGAAATGTAAAGTTCTAGTAGGCTGCTGGCTCTTGTTGGGAGCAGCTTCCTTGTAAATTCCACAAGCAAATGTATCTTTAATTTCCTTGCTCATCTTTCTCCTTCACTTCATGTGGTTTAGTTGCAGGTGTTGTATGGTTATTGCTGTTCCTTGTGAAATTTCTCTTTTTGATTATATTCGGAGCGCCATGATGTCTGTATTTAATTAGCGGAAGGTTCATGTACTGCACAGAATCTGTCATTTTGAAAGCATACAGTAAGTGCAAATAGTTTGCAATATTATTTCTCAGAACACCGTGTCAAATTAAACCTTGAATAGGCACCATTCCAGAACTATTGCAGATTTACAAGTTAGTCATACTTCCCAGCCAACCCTTGTAATTGTATTTTCATACTGCAGAAGGATTTTGCTGTCAAGGAAAACGTTTTTTCAAGTGCGTATTCAAACAAATGCTTATTGATGTGTTTCTTCTACGGTGTAGAAATTGTACCTCTGCTGAGGGAGACATCGGATTGACGAGGGTCAAATATGCCGAATGGAAATGAACATGGGCCAGTGCAGTTTTCAGAAAATGCACATTAAATGGGAGTAGGACTTGAGAGGAACAGGCAAAAAAGTTTTTTTTTTTTCTTCTCTTTCGTGGGATCCATCAATGTTATTGCAGTGTCCGTGAAATATCAGAGGCTCCTGTTTGGCATAGTTATTAAACCTTGCTAGGGAAGGAAGCCAACGGAGGGTTTAAATGGATGGGTTACTGGTATAATCAGTGGATCGGTGGTAGAACGGATAGGTACCAAAATAATATTAGCATTATGATAATTTATAACTCGAAATTAAATTATCGACTTTCCAACCGTTTTATCATTTCTATGAGACAAGTCACACGTTTACCCTGTGACACGGAAATAGAAAGGCATTAATATTTTTCCTCCTGAATTTCCATATTCTCAATATCCCGTCTACTTGCTTTGCAACCTCTCCGCTTACTTTCATCACTTCACATAAAAATATTTCACCAAAAGTTATTATGATGAAATTCATGACTTTTTTGAATTGTTAAAAAACAAAATTCATGTTAGAAACAACATTTCCAGAGCTATCGAATCGAATTTGTAAAATCGAAATTGAATCCATCATATTAAAGCGTCGGATAAAACATCAGATTTTTTGAGAGACTAAACTTGGAAGGGAGGCTTGGATGAGTTGGGTGGAAGAGCCTTCGGTGTGTTGGTGCGTTTGGAAAGGGGGCCGGTGAAAGAGGTGGCAACGGCTGGTGCTGTTTTTCAAGGAGAGATTCAACAAATCAAAGAAGTGGGCATAGGGTAGGACAGCTAGAAAGGACAGATTACACTCAGCGCAAAAGATGTGCAGGGATATGGTGATTAGAGTTTGGTGATGCATTGGGTTAATTCTTTAATTAAGTTAATTTAGGTGCTTATTTGGAAATATGAAAAAATTAGAAGAATAGCGTCTGTGAGTTTGAGACTCACAAGCATCTGTCATGCTACTGTTATTCTATTTATAAATACATGTAGTAATATATTAGTTATCCTAATTTGCATATAATTTATAAATAAAGTGTTTTTAGATATTAATTATTACATGTATAAAGATATATTCTGAAGGATTAATCCCAATAAACTGTCGGATCGTGTGCATTCCTAGTGCTTTCTACATCGTTAAATCATCTATTATTTTAACAAATCTTTTCATTATTGACATGCATTACATATTCATTCTTGATGGCCCATACTATTTTGAAACTAATCCATGATTACGTCCTTAATCTCTAAGTTCTTGCTAAGAAAAAGGTCTAACAAATGATCCAGAGTTACCTTCTTGTTTGCCGTTAAAGAACTTGATTGTTTTTTCTACCAAAATCAATAAAAAAAACCAGCAAGATCCACCAACTGCTGCTTCTTCTGGTGTCGTAAAATTTATTGCGATGGCTCAATTTCAGGATAAATGTGAAGCATGATTACATAAACAAATCCATCTATCTACTTTTGGACAACAAAATAAGTACTTCGGAGTTGTAAAGGTAGTAAATAATGTCCTAAACCGGGTTATTCTCCCACTAAAAAGGGAAGATTGATCACTTCATTTGTGCCTTTTTTGCCCATGTTAATTATTGATTTTTGTGGAGATATTGTGGTCACTTTACAAAATCATGTGAGGTATATATGAGCAAATCAGTCACAAATAGGGTTGTCCGACCCGATTACACCTAGTTTTAAAAATTGGGATTGTAACCCTCTGGTCAATGAATTGGCCCAAATAACTTTTGCCTGAAATTACTAACTCAAAATGATTAATCTAAATTGTTCATTGGTCCATGGATCTAAAGTTATATATATTGGCCACCAACCTTAGACTCATTTCGTGCAGAGACCACGCGAGATTCACGCTAATATCAACTGTAAAATTCTGATTCCATGGATTGACCCAAATATCTTTTGAACAAAACCATAAGTGCAAAATAGTTAATCCACATTATTCAAGTACCTAGGAGCTTAGACTTATATATCAATCATTTCCTTCTTCACTTCCGATGTGGGACGTTTTTGGTTTTGGAGTCTCATAATAACAGTAGTAGGGAAAGATTGGTGCAATTAATCCTTTAGGGGTGCAAGTTGGGAAAAGAGTGTACTTTGAAGGGATTTATTAAAATTAATCCTATTATGAATATAGAAACATCAATAACGGAATTAATTCCTTTATATTATATTTTATAAATATAGATCATGTATTCAGAGATAAAACAAAATTTACTTTATTTATTAAAAAAATCTTTTAAGGAAATGGAATGAAATTTTTGTTAATAGTTTGCCTTAAAAATATTTCTTTAACTATAAATTATTGTTATATAATAATAACACTTTTATTTCAAAGTTGAATTAATCATATAACGAAAAAATAACCAAATATATTTGAAGGTATATTTGGTTAACAAGTGAAAGAATAGCTCATGAGTAGAGAGTCTCTTGTACAATAAGGATCAAGAATAAGATTTTAAGATACATACATTGGCAAACTCGTACATTTTGGCCCAAAAACAAAGACCTATCAGGTCATAGAATCTGTGCGGGTGCCCAATTGAATTCCGAGTCAAACGTATTGCACTAAGCTTGGTCGGGTTGGTACCTTATCTGGCAAATTAGGAACCTAGACTGGATGAATGATTTGATCGGACTGATTCCTTATCCGGCAAATTAGGAACCTAGCCTGGATTAATGACTAGTTTCTTTGTCGATGAGTTCAACTACCGGCCGCCGTTAAAAAAAAAAAAAAAAAAAAAAAGACTACATTGTTTTGGTGCTAGAGGAAATTAAAAGACAAAAAAAAGAAAAGAAAAGAAAAGAGAAGTGGCAATTAGTACAACCATAATAAAACACCTTTAAAGGTCGAACTAGTAGAGTTTCAACCGAAGCCTCGAACATAAATGTAGACAAGCAAATATTAAAGAAATAAATGCTAAACTTTATGATATCTATACATATATATATAGAGAGCACTTTCGTGGGTATTCTTTCTCAAATTTCACCTGCCTCATCCAAGGGTAGTTTATTAATTTGGAGTGGTGGCAGCATACTATATTTTGGTACAATGGCTGGCTGCATTCTTGCTTGTTCATTTACTTTTAGCTATTGTTTGGAAAATTCCAATTGTAACCTCCATGTTGCTTTCTTCAAGAGTGGTTTAAATTACAATAATTACAAATTAATATGCATCATTCCTTTAAATTGCCCGAACAGCCGTTATGGTTGGAAACGGCTATTTGTTTCTCCTTCATCTTAGTTTATAACTTTATCTATCTTCTTTTCTTTTGTGTAGTTTTTCCTCTTCTTACTCTATGTTTCTTCTTATTGAAGGTGTGCAATTCTTTGTTGTTCTCTTTCTTATTTGTATATTTCATGTTCTTGATTCATAATTTTTGCTTTAGTGATTTGATATTGTAAGTAGTAATTTGCAGAGATATAATTTCATCTTTTAGTTCATTTAATCTTTTTGTTAAATCAGTTTACTATATGCTTTGATTCAACAAAAAAAATGTTTGATGTTTATTTATCTTGTAATTTTGTCAATAGGAGTTTTCTACCAACAAGTTGAAGGCCCCGCTCAATGACAGTTGCACTAAAAATTCAATGATTAGGGTATGTGATTTACTATTTGTTTGAAATCCAAAGCCTTTGAATTTCTTCTATATATTGTATAAATTAAAGGCTCAAGTTTCATATTCTTTTAATAGAAGAAAGATGTTTTCCTACTATTGGAATATAATAGGTAGTGTTTGATAGTTTGTTATTGGTTCTGATTGAAAACATTTGACGTTCACTTTGTTCTTGCAATTTTATTATTTTTTGAGCTGATAGCAATTGGCAATGGTCTAAGATGAAAATTACCTTATTTACTAGACCCGCATATATCAGTAGATTTTTATTTGGTAGATCGTACTTTACTCTTACATCTTTAATTAGCTCCTTCGTTAAGATCTTATATTGTTTCAATTTCTCTTATTTTAATATAAGTGGGTTGATTATGATTTTCTGTTTTTATTGATAGGGTTGGGATAAAATATTACAAAAGAATAACACTTGCAAGATCAATTCGCCTCATATTCAGTTGGAATTTCATGACAGCAAATTGAAGTTGTCTCGAATTGTTTGTGGAGGATCAATCTCTTCGTAGCATGCTGAATTTATTATTGTACTGAAATTTCATAATCCTTTAGTAACAAAGGAAAGTACTACAAAATATGGTTTGATTTTATTTCTAATCATTACAATTGCAATGACGAAACTGATTCAATTTTTTGTCGATGTTTGGTCTTAAATTTTGCAAAAATTCTTACTTACTTATGATTATGTGATTAAATGATCATTTGGTTACTTTTATATTTCTCCACTTAAACAAATTAATGTGTTTGTTTCTATTTGTTCATTTAAAAAATTACTATACTTTCTCATTTTCTTACAATATTAATAGTATTTTTTTACTTTCTTAATCTTATGATGCTTAATAAATTATAACACAAGTACTCATTCCAGCAATGCGCAGGCTTCTCCCCTAATATTATTATGAAGTCATGGAAGTAGGAAGTAGCGAATGCGTCTAAGGTACATGCACAAATTTAATATATATATATATATATATATATATATATATATATATATATATATATGATGAGCAACCTAAGTGCCTAATTTAATGTAGGAAACAAAAGATAATATTCTGTAGCAACAGAAGTAGCATCCACATAGCATATACGAAAGGAAGAAAAACCCAAA